TGTATATAAAAAAGTTGAATATAGAGATTTTCTAAAAGCTTTGAAGCTCCGAAAGATTTGATTTCTAATAATAATCCAATGGTAGTTGCAAATGCTGTTGCAGCACTTGGAGAGATTCAAGAGCGTATAAAAGGTTGATAGTAAAGTTCAAAAAATATAAAAAGTCGAAAAGTATTTTTAGAGAAAAAAAAAATTTGAATAGCAATTTTTGGAGAATGTATGATTAAAAATTAATAAAAAGCTTTCGATTTACGTTTAACATTATTTTATTAAAAAATGTGGGGTTAATTACTCCAATAGTCACTGAACTTTACCGAAAGTTTCCACCAGGTCACTGAACTTTAAAAATTACGTAGTTAATCACTGAACTTTGAAATTGCAACCCCATCCATCACTGAACTTTAAAAATCATCCAATTCATCACCGAACTTTGCAAAAAGTTTCCCTTATGGTCACTGAATCAATGATCATCTGGAAAACTTTTTGCAAAGTTCAGTGACTCCGTAGAAATCTTTTGCAAAGTTCAGTGACTAATGGGGTGATTTTTAAAGTTCAGTGATGGATATTATTGCATTTTCGAAAGTTCAGTGACTAATCACGTAGTTTTTTTCCCCCAGAACACGACGTCGCTTCGTCTTCACTTCATCCACTGTTTCTCCACCAAAAAAACTTCAAACGGCACCATTAATATTAGTAAGACCTTTCACCACATACACATAAATAAATACATATTCGTATACATTGATAGATACAAGCGTGCGTATCTATAGATTTGTACTATTCTTTGAGAAGTAGAGTGTTGGTTTCACCATGTTTTTATCCTGTTCAAAAACATCATGGGGGCCCGAGTTACACGGTGGAATGTAATGTCGTGCAAGCGCTAGTATGATAATTCTTTTCAGGTGGGCCCGGCGGCTCATAATCGTGATTTAGTGGCGTGAAAATTGTTTGAATATCTTCTGATTTCCTGTGATATAATTCAAATTATTTATTAATATGACAGCTGGAGCTGAGCAATTAAAATAAAACTGAAAATATGTTCTATTTGAATAATTATGTTAATTGCATCACATTTTAATTGTACGTACTTCGTTTTTCACGCATTTGTACTTCTAATTTTTCATTAATTAACATATCTAAACCGTGTTCGGTAGAGATTAATATCGGATTAAAATTGAAAAACTAGTCGTTATTGTTGACTTTTATTAGACGAGTGAGATCCAATAACAGCTATATTTTCAATTTCAATTGAATTTTAAGCTTAGTCAAACATGCTCTTAATTATGTCCCAAATGTCTATTGAGAGGATATAAAACGAGTTACTTCGCGTTATTTTTTAGAAAATAATAAATACAAAAATTTGGTAGAATATTTTTGGGAGGATCTAAAACGAGTTACTTCGCATATTTTATAGAAAATAATAAATATAAAAAAATGTTTTTTTTTTCATTTTAAAGCACGCAAACAGAATATAAAACGAGTTACTTCGCATATGTGATGTACTAATTAATGAAATGTTGAAGATAAAAAATCGATGAAAAAAATGAAGGACTTAAAATGTTACAATTGACAAGTGTTGAGAACCTTGAGTGCAATTAAAATATAAGATAACTAATGGAAACTGATGTATGAACATATTTACAAAAATGCTATCCCTTGTATTTTACTATTCATAATAAGTTTAGACGAATTTATCATGAGTTGAAAATAAAGCCTCGATATCACTCGATTCACTTTGAATACTAGAAAATTCAATTATAATATAAGTCACCTTGTATCCGAAATAAGTCAAATAAAAGTTGAGTTCTAATTATTCATTTATACTTTTAAGGCACAACGATAAAATATTCATACAAGTCAAGCTCGTTCGTATTTCAGAGTGAGAAAGCAACCAAAACAAATAAGCGACGCCCTGAGCATTTTTACTGGAAGAATATCGAAATGCATATACCTTTTTTAGAGCCGTTATTTTCATTTTTCATCCATAATTTTGTATATAAAAAAGTTGAATATAGAGATTTTCTGAAAGCTTTGAAGCTCCGAAAGATTTGATTTCTAATAATAATCCAATGGTAGTTGCAGCACTTGGAGAGATTCAAGAGCGTATAGAAGGTTGATGGTAAAGTTCAAAAAATATAAACAGTCGAAAAGTATTTAAGCCCTTGTTTGAGCATCATTTTTAGAGAAAAAAAATTTTAAATGGTGATTTTTGGAGAATGTATGGTTAAAAATTAATAAAAAGCTTTCGATTTACGTTTAAAATTATTTTATTAAAAAATGTATGATAGAAAATAAATTTTAAAAAAAAGGGCTCAAACAATCCATAAGTAAATTTCACATAAGGTTAAAAATGTAATATATATATATATATATAAGAATAATGGATGAAAATAACCGTTCTTTTTTTGTGTGTGTAATGTGCATGCATAGTAATTAAGCTTTTAGTGGACAATGTGTGTTATTACACGTACGTAAAGAATTTAACATTTGATTACTCATCCCCTGTTTGATAGCACTTACAATTAAGATTTTTATCAAAATCAAAGTCAATAATTGATCTTAATAAATATTGATGTTTTAAAATTGTGTTCTATTGGAGCAACAATGCAATATTTCCCCAAAGTAACAATCAAATATGAGGTCGGTCGAGCCCGTCGCACCGGGCTTGCGTAGTGCGGTTTACCTCTCATATGGGGTTTGCGAGGTACAACACATGGAGCGGGGTTTATTTAGTGCGCACTAATAGTGGTTGGGCCTCCTCCCCTTCGGAGTGGTCGGGACTCCGCTGACGGGTAGCGGCTGCGGGTTCCTACGTCAACAAAAATATGAGGTCGTTTTCTTCATGAGCAACGACATAATACATATTGTTGATAAAATATTTTATATATTTTTACGTATTTTTTTTTATTTACTTACTTAATATAGATCGATTCTTAAATGTCAATGATAATTGCAAAAAAAGTGAAAACGAGATAATGTCAAAACAGGCAGACAGTCCTAATTGACGGGATGATAAGCTACTTCAACAAAAAAGACGCGATTCTCTGTTAACATATTACAACTAATATAGAATTGTTCTTTTACCATTTTAGATATTATTTGATGGGTTAATTAATTAAATTTAAGAAAACATTGATTTAGTATTAAACTTTCCTTAAATTTATTTATTACCATATCAAATAAATCTTTTATGATATGATTTCATAATTACCGTGTTTCATTGTTTGATTTTTACGTAAGTTTTATTTGGAATCTTGTTTATTAAAAAGGTTGAAACCTAACCTTGAGGGCCTCCCACCGACCCTGCCCTAGGCCATTGTGGAGGAGGTAAATCGCAGGATGTGCCTCCCAGGAGCTAGGGTGGAAAGCTTATGGATAGGCCTTGGACTATTAACCCTATGGTAACTCCCGCTTGCAACAAAGCCAATTCCACCTTGCGGGGAATCGAACTCTGCACACTACCGCGCTGAGCCCTAACCGCCCTTCCCTTTGCCACTGGGAGATATGCCCTGGGGGCAAAGGAATCTTGTTTATTACTTCGACGAAAGGTTGGTTTAATATTAAACTTTTCATAAGTTTAATAATTATTATATTAAAAGATATAATTGGGAATCTTCCAGCTAGATTGATCAGACTCATGCTCTGTTGAATACTTTCAAAACTTGCCGTTATTCTTCAATTGAATTTGAAGAAAAACAAACAAGAGTGTGGATGTACAATTTAATTCAAGGATCAAGCTGCTTGACGTAAGTTGAGAATGGCGATTTTTAATTCAAATGTTGCTTGTGGCCGAGTATAATAGTGAAGTAGCGATAAAGTCGAAATCGGGAGGTTTGATTCCACTTATACAACAAGTCAAAAGAAGAAGAAAACAACGGAGTTGTCTTATATTTCTTTTGATTGATTTTTTGCTAATTTTGCGAAATTACAAAACTAAAACTACTGTATTTTTTATCGTTTGAATTAATGAATTTATTTACTTGCGGCATGGGCCCGTTAATGTTTCCATTCGAGGTTTACCACGTTACATCCTCTGTTAATGTTTTAATATGCTAGTTAATTTTCACAATCAATTAAAACTTTAGAACATATATACAATCTGCATGGTGCAATCGGAACGGTTGAAAAATTGGTTATGACCTATGAATTTTTTGAATAGTGACTGTGAAATAACTTATGATCAATAATTTGATAATGTGTGACCTAAAAATAATTTGTGACTAATAATTTGATAATATGTAATCTAAAAATAACTTGTGACTAATCAATTTGATATTTTGTGACTATAAAATAAATTGTGGATCATAAAATTTGAGATTTGTGACCAATTAATTAATCTATTTTATGATCGAGAAATAAATTGTGACCTGTAAAATTCATTGTTTGTGATTGTGACATCTGTAATTGTGACTAATACGTATCCGTGATCATAAATCATATAATATTGTGACCCTAATATATTTAATTAATTATTTAATAAATAAAATTTAACTTAATATCTAATTTTTGAAAAAGGAAACTTTATTTATTAGATTTGAAATAGTTCATGCTTAATGTATTACTAATGAAATCTTCTCATTATAATATCATACGTATGCAGAATAGATTACTAGTTTTTTTGTTCAATTTTATTCGAAGCACGTGTTAGTAATTGAAAAAGAAAAGCCAGAATTCTTTGAATAATAAGAAAAGAAGACAATTCTTTGATGCCAAAAAAATCTGGGAGTTTGACCTTCAAAAATATAAAAATAAAATAGCGAGGCTTCGAATCTACCAGAATAACTAGAAATGAATTCATATTTTCTTGAAATATACATAAATTGGACAAATTCTATTCACCAAAATTTTACGTCACTCTAATGTCAATTAAATAACTGTACTATAATTTATTCAATCGAATAAGTATATTTTAATCTAATTTCAATCAATAACTACCTTCAATTTGTCACTTGAATTGATGAAAATTGATAACATGACAACTAATAAATGATATCGTCATTTATTTCACTGAAATTGAACTAATTCCACGTCATTAAATAATAGTAGCATGTCAGGACTATCTTTTATCGTTAATTCACTGTCAAATCATCAATTTTCGTGAGTGGAATTGGACGAAGTCAAATAAATGTCATGAAAATTGTAAGCTCATAAAATTTGGTTAATTTATAAACCATTTATAAATGGTTAAACTTAATTTTGAATTACATAAAACTTCAGTAGACCTACAATTACTATACATTTATCTATTTATAATTTAACTCGTTTATAAATTCTTCACAATCTGACTCGATGTTAACAGAACCAATTCTAGACAAAATATCCGAACGGGTATCCGAATCGAGAACCGATGAGTTTGGTTCATAAATTAAAAACTCGAACGGGTACCCTAATCCAGAACCTATGGGTTTGTGTCTTGTCTCGGGTCTAGACGAAGAACCGAATAAGAATCGAAACTAAATAATTTTTTATTTTTTATATTGAATTAATTAAATTATTTTATTTTTATAACTTTTAATTTATATTTCATTTTCTTTATGCAGGCAGACTGCTTGAAACAAATGAATTTACTTTATATAGCGTTGTTGTAATATTAATATCTTTTTTTTTTTTTTGGTATTTGTATGTATTGAATTAATCTTATTAGACGACTAGTTATTTATATGTTTTTGAATTGAATTACGTTAATTTGTAAAAGTTACGAATGAAATGTTATTAGTTGTATTTATGTAGTTACTGTAAATATTAAAAATATTAATTATGGTACGGAATCGAAAGGAACCGAATTGGACCGAATGAAACCAAACCCCCAACAGTTCCATAATTATATTTGGACCCGACGATTCCATTTATTAAATACTCGAAAGTTTACCGACTCACGGACAACCCTACTCTCTAGTCCTCACTTCGCACTATTATTATTATTATTATTATTATTCTGTATTTCAAAAAAAATCAATTGAAAAAGAAAAAAAAAACAATAGGCCAAACCTGACGTGGACCGGACCTACCAAACACCTTTCCAAAAAAATAAAAAAAAAGGGCAGAAAACACGGCACGGTCAAAAGAAGTAAACAACAAACTACAAATTTAAAATCCACTACGTAAATCCTTCTTCGTTATTTAATTTCGCGATTCAGATCTAAAACAATCCGATCCTCAACGACTACCACATGAAATGAAAGAATTATGATTTATTCTTCAATTAGAGTTGAACCAAATGCTATCAAATTTCATTTGAATCAAGTTGAAATAATCAGATTAATACATTAGACTATTTGGAATCAAATATATCAAAAATATAAAGTTGAGAATAAATGAACAGAAATAAAAATTAAGAAAAACGCACCAGTAAATATCCACCAAGAAAAGTATAAATGCATAATCCAAAAAACAGTTTTTACTTTTTAGTTGTGCAACTTCCTCTTCTAAAGTTTGAACTGCTGAAGTTGGTAAAACATACTAAAATGCACCCATAAAACCTTGCAAACCAGTGTTGGTAATCCAATGTTCACACTGTAAAGAGATTCCATAAACAAAACCTTGCAAATAGTTCTTTAAGAGAGAAGTTTTCAGCTTCTCGTATTTACCTGAGATTCCATAAACAAAACCTTGCACTGTGTTTTCAAAGGCTTTCTGTCGAATAGTGCTATAACAAACGCCACCTGTTAAACTTCAACATATGTATCTTGAGGGCATGGTGGTTCTTCAGAGTCACGAGCCTTCTCTTCTGTGACAATATTGCCATATCAAATCAATTTGACCTCGCTTGAACAAGACAGATAACATAAATATATTTATAGAGATGAGGATCCCTATTCCTCCCCAGTTCTCATTTTTCTATAACTAGAAGTACAAAAAGAATAAGATTTGGCTAAAAGGACGAGAGCAGTTACATAGTATGGATAAAATTCTTCAGATTAGGATGTAAGACTTGTAGTCATCTGTAAAACGTACTCTCTCAATGTTACAGCTTTCCTCCATTTAATTCTTTCTTGGGAAAAAACTTTAAGTTTGTATTCGCTGTTACAAAATGATACAGGATGGCAGATGCTGATATTTAGTTCTACAAAGTACATAATTTTACCTAAGCTATAAATTTTTAGTTTCAAGATTAGACTTGTAGAACTAAACAGAGAAAATTAGAATAGTCTTCAGTAATGATGGCAATGCCACATGAAGATCATAAGCGAATTAGCAATGATTTTGCATGAAGTAAAGGTTAAAAATATAGATCCCCTCTCTTTCTCTCACCCACCTGCATGTGTGATACAGACACATTTTAAAAAAAAAAAGGACCTTAATTATAAATTTATTTATACGATTTATTCATTTTTCTCCCTCAGTTTTCCACCATTCACATTGTAGTCCATATTCTAGTTGCACTCCTATTCGTGGTTCTTGACAGGAGCCAAAGAACTGAAACTGCTCACTTTTAGGGCCTCCAACCTCAGTCAAAAGCTCTTGGACATATTTAGGAACTTGAAGTGTGACAAAAGACTCAAAATGAGGTGAGAGATACCAAAAGGAAACAAACTAAGATACAAGATGATGAGTACAAGTACTAACAATTTTTTTACTGCAATAGAAATTCCAAGTCATCATGGGAATCAAATTTCTGACTGTTAATTGCATTACCTGTTTCAAAGTCAATCTTTGGATGATGTGAGTTGATTATGGATTTTCTCCTTCTCGAATAAACCTTGGTGATAGGTGTGTTGAGCCTCTTGTCCTTGGTCTCTAAGGACTCTGTAGAGTTTAATGAATTTTGTTCAGCTAATACCCACTTGATATAAAAGCTAAAGCCATCAAAGAAAGCTATATGTATATCATTTAAATCTCGGCTTCAACATTTTTGTCCCTATTCAATAAAAATCAAACCAGTTGGACTTTATACAAACGCATGTACAAAGTCTTCAGATCTACCCACTAGAATGACCTCTGAATAACTACCTACAGACCAAAAAACATTTTTGACCAAAGATCTATGTTTTTACATGAACATCAAGGAATAGCGAGGTGGACATACTTTCTCTAATAATTCTTGTCCATAATGAAGAATGCCATGTCATTCTAATTCTTCGTTTGTATATTATAACAAATAGAAGTACTACTTTTTTTAAAAATAATAGTAATAAAATAAAAAAAGAAAAGTGTGGGGTTCAAAAGCCACGGTAATCTTTATCATATATCTCTAAGATTGTCCTTATCTTAGAAAATTTTGCACAAGAATTGAAGAAAAAGCAATATTTTATACTTGTAGTTCTATAGTCCGGGCCTTTTGCAATTGAGAAATTAATGATTTCCATATCAAGCATGTCAAAGGTAGGACTTAATAACTAAATTGCATGATTATATGATAGAACAGTAAAGCTGATATTTTACTCTGCAATTGAGATATAATAGAATCACACCTATCAATTTTTTGTCCTAAAGTCTATACTCACTATCCACCAGCCTTCTATTCGGAAATGTTAGAATTATATACTCAAGTAATTCAGACAGAAGAGTGGAAGAGGAAGGAAGAGAAAGCCCCTCTTTGAGCCCCATTTTGGTAAGAAAATGTATTTTGGAATATTGTTTTTTTGGAAAATGTGTGATTAAAAAAGAAGGAAAATTTTTCGATTTACATATAAAATTATTTTATTAGAGAATGGTGTGATTGAAAATGAGTTTTTGAAAAATGGGGGCCAAACATAGGCAAAATATGTATATCTCCTTTCGCCTTCTTAATTTCAAAGTGAAACGCCCTATTTATAGGATTTGCTCACTTCCTTGTGAATACCTACCATAAGTCGTCATGTAAAGAACTCATACGTTTCATATAAAGAATAGGGAATTAATGAACAAGGACACTCAAATCTTCCAACATATAATGTTGACTGACCCAGTAAAAGGATCTAGTTTTGAGTATTCAACATCAACAATGTTAACTAGAGCAGAAACTTTAGACATCTTGACACCAAAATTAAACAGCATCATTTGCATCAGATTCTTACTTTCTATGTTTTTTCTTTTTTTAATTTTAATTCATAATAATGGTTTCATAAATAAGTGTATGACATGACATTCATAAAAAAAGTATAAATTGTAGAAAATATATCATCCACCATACCTGAAGTTTGATTGTCCAACAACCCGCCATTGTGAACAGCAGAACTATGTTGAAAGATTGACTTCGAAGAGCCTTCATTGAGATCATCAGAAATAGAATCTAGCTCTGCAAACACCACAGGAACATTTTCAAGCAACCGAGATTGTTCTTCTGGTGTTTGAAGCTTCTTTCTCCTCTCCAAGTATTCAAAAAGCGTAGAAGCAATGAGGTTAAGGCCACAATCATTTTCTACCTTCTCTGTTTAATTCTTAAAAATTTAGTAAAATCAGTAGGGACTCATACTAAATCCCACAACTTCAAGTTGGATATTTTCAACAATGACAAGCTAAGCATTATTCTCAATAAATATGGAGTTGGCCAAATGAATATTTTTGCTTATGTGTTCAATTTTCTGCAAAATCTACTAAAACATCCAATGAACTCAATTCATTAGCACCACATTAGGCTAATGTTAATTTTGGCTTACCTATCCCTCTTTCCTACCTGTCCCTCTTTTAACACATTCCAATGGGATTGCATCACACTCGTGAATGAGAATTTTTAAGGTCTATGCAACGATATGTTCCAACCACCTACTCGTCATCGTCTCCTTAATTTAAGTGCTTGGTGTATTCTTACCCATTTTACACATTATCTTATCAAGGTGAACACCTATCATTAGAGTCTAAAATAATAAGACTATTTGCCTGAGTAAAAATGTAAAGTTCCTGTGACATAGTTACACCATAGAAGGATATTCGCGTCTCCATCCTTTCTCATTTGCTCGATCAATGAGATTTTGTAACAAAGCCAGCTCTCTACTAATCCACTGCATTAAATTAAAGATAAGCAAACATGATTAAGAGGAAATTAGAAATTTTAACGCTACTTTGAAATGTGATAAATATTCCTTATAACGGGAATCTCCACCATAGTAGAGAACAAGATTTACGCATTGAATAACACGAAGCTATGTAAGTTCGATATGACACATCCAATATAAATATTATAATGTAAGTAATAAATAAATATAATATGCAAAGAGTGTAGTAATGATGATGTTTGTGCTACATAAATACAATGGAAAAACATTTGACTGGAAATTTACTCAAAAACCAGTTAAAATATAACAATTGTATAGCTAGAAGCATCAAATTCCAAGGATGGTCATGACACTCCAGCCATCAGCCATATAACATCTTGAAGTTTACTATCTGAATCTTAAATTGTTTATCAACTTCAGAGAATGCTGAATAATAACACGATTAGTATCCGAAATTTCATGGCAGGAAACAAAAATTGAAAAGTAATTATTGGAACTTATAAACGAAACATCAAAATATAAAGCATACATGCTTTGTTATATCCTTGTGAAGAACTCTGGCCTTCTGTTCAAACTCCACCTGTAAAACAAAATAAAATAAACAAGAACAATAATTGTGAATTAAAGAATAAATAAATTTATGTATGAGAATGGTTCGAACAAGAAAACCTTTGTTTATTAGAAAACAGACTGTACTCTAGATAAGTTGGAGATTCTTAGGAGATGATTCCGTTCTAAAGATAACTAGTCATTTACAGAAGATAATATATGACTAGTGCAACTGTGTAAATCTCTAAGAATACGTTCTTTTATTATCTACTATATTGTGCATGTCAGTTTTTGAGGATATTTTCTTTTCTTCCATACTTTAACAGAAATTTGCTCCAGAATTGGGTAATAATCAACGTTGTGCTCCTAAACTTCAGGGAAAATAAAAAATATAAAGAATTTTTTGAGCAGAGTTTGATCAATTTTTTAAAGTTTGAGGGTTGTAACCCATTAGAATAAATAAATATTCCACTGGTGACATGGGGAAGCAAGACAATACGTTTTCACAGATATCAGTATGCATATTCTTTTGCTGATTTGGATATCAATTCAATTATCTTATACTGGAAGAGGCTAAATTGTTTGCTGTACATTTACATATAAAACATATCACCAGTAACATTTTCCAAGAGAAATGCTAGTAGATCTACTGACTGGAGGCACATAAGTACTCACTACTGTAGGCCTCGCAATCTCGCCGTCCATCACTCTTTTTCTCAAATCTTCACATTCTTCCTGCAAAAGAGGGTTGATCTCTGATGTCGATCTTATTAAGACACAGAGAATACCACAAAATATTGCACTAAACATTTTCTTTCACAAAAAATATAATTAGCTGGAAGATATTCTTTTATGATATTAAATAAAATACAGGAAAGACGACATGGAGATTCATAGGGAGAACTACCATTGTCTATGCAGAAATCACTTCATAGAAAATAAGCAAGAGTCATTCTCATTATTCAGCATACAGCATTTCCAGCAAGTTATTTAATGTTTCATTCCCTCCAGACTATCACATAAACCAAATGCTTGTAAGGATACTGCCTATTGCAATTCACAATGACTAGTGAAAATGGATTGTATATTTCCATCTTTTGTATTACATATTTATAAACAAACATTCCTAGAACAGGAACCTAAGAAAGGAAACAAATAACAAAAAATAAACACAATCACTCTGGGTCAACTATACCACAAATACATAATAATGACAAAAAATAATCCCAGATTTTATGAACATAAATGAGAGGGATTTTCCCAAACACTCCCCCTCAAGCTGGTGCTAGGATGTTATTTGCATTACCAATTTGCATATGACTTTCTGAAATGTAGCTCCTAATAATCTTTTGATTAAAACATCTGCCCAGTAATTGGAAGAACTTATGAAAGGTGCACAATTTATCTACAATCTAGTTTTTCCTTTGAAGAGTCTATTAATTTCCTCATGTTTGGTACTGTCATGCTCGAGAGGATCGTTAGCAATACTTATTGCGGCTTTATTGTTTCAATATAGCTTCACAGGTATCTTGGCATCAACCTTCAAATCAGTGACAATGATCTTAATCTACAAAAGTTTACAAATTACTTGTGCCATGGCTCGAAATTCTGCTTGTGCGCTTGATATTTCTACAACAGGTTTTGCTTTTTTACTCTGCCATGTGACAAGATTCCCTTGTACAAGTGTACAATAGTATGTAGTAGATCTTCTATCAACCATAAATCCTGCCCAATCACCTAATGTATAAGCTTCAACACTTGAGTTTTCCTAACTAAAAGTCCCACTTCGAAGGTACTTTTTAAATAGCGTATAATTCGACATACTACTTCTAAGTGTGATTTATATGGATTGCTCAAAAATTGACTCACAACACTTGTAGAATGTGCAATATCACAACACTTGCAGAATATCGGGGCCTTGTGTGTGAAAGGTTTATCGGCCTTTTGATGTAGGACAATCCTATTCCAAATAGGATTGATTTTCTCTCTTTTCATTTTCTTTCTTCTTTAGATTATGATTTATTTTTATTTTTTTATTAGAATATAATTTCTTGTTTCTTTTAGATTACGATATTGTTTCCTTTTAGGATTTTAGTTTTCTTTCCATTTAAGATTTAGTTTAGTTTCCTTGTATCAGTAATATTAGGGCATCATTTTGCATATTTATGAAAAAATATTGTAAATTTTTCAATACAACCAGATTATTCTTTCAACTTTTCGAGTTTTAATTTTCCTTGTTTTCCAGAAACTAATTCTACTTCCACACCAAAATTGGTATTAGAACAATGTTTTCCCTTGGCTAGCGGTTACCTATGGTGGTAATGGTATGCATCATCGTGATGATGATAAGATGATTGCAAAATTACCAACCTAGATCTCGAATCTCTAATGAAGGATGGATATGTTTGAAGGCGTAGTTGACAAGAATTTGCATACTTTGACTGCTATGAATATTGATTATTTTAACAAGCTCAGAACATGGTAATAGGTGGTTAGAGAATTTCCTCGAGTACCAACTATGTTTAAATACGCACAAACTATCAAGGATTTTGTGAAGGTCTATTCGAGAGATTTAAAGGAGACCATTTGGAAGCACGTCAGGATTTTAGAACAAAATGTATCATTAACAACGCATGTATCGTAATAATAGACCATGGGAGCAGTGAGAACATGGTATCCAAAGTATTGGTGAAAATTTTAAATTCAAATACCAAAAAATATTCATCACGCTATCAAGTTCTACTAGCTAAAGGGGTGGGGGAACATGAAGGTATTCAAAATTCCATTTCCTATTGGAAAGCAATAAAAAGATGAGATTGTGTGTTACATGGTAGAAATGGACAACTTAATGTACTTTAGGGACAATGATGGTACTATGATGTTAATGTCACTTACTCGAGATAATAAATGTGTTTAAATAGTATAAGAAGATTGTTCTAATATCAAGTGATGAGCAATTTGTGAATACCGGTGTAAACAAAGAGCAAAAGATTTATAAAGCAAAATGATATCATTCAAAGTGATCATTATGTCACCATGATACTGCAATAGTGGTGCGGAAGCGTTTAAAAAATTTTGTAATAAGAATTGAAAATAAGAATTATATTAGAATAACTTGCTTTGTACTAATTGAATAATAATTGATGTTATGTAAAAATGTATAATACTTGTAAATAGACAAAATTATTTCCTAATTCTACTAATAATAGGAAACTAAAATAAGGAAAATAATAAAATCTCAAATCTAATTAGAAATCCTATTCTATTCAATAAAGAAAAGAAATCTTATTCTAAACAAGAAATAAGAATAAAAAGACAAAACAAATTAGAACTAGAAAAGATAAATCATAATTGTAGTAGGAAACTACTAATTGTGATTATGTACTACATCAATCCCCTTTCTTCTACTTATTTTCAACCACACATTCTTCATTAAAATAATATTTTCCATCACACCAATAACTTTTCATTCTTTTTCAACCACACATTCTCCATCAATTTACTATTCCAAAATACATTCTTCCAAAATAATATCCATGAAACACACCCTAGAACTAGAAAATGAAACTAGAAAAGATAAATCACAATTGTAATAGGAAACTACTAATTATGATTATGTACTACATCAATCCCCTTCACTTGAATAAAACTTGTCCTTGAGTTTTCTTGAAGAAAAATTAATCAATCGGGAGGAAAATACTTAAAAATTTCTGTCAATATTAATATTGAAAAAATTTCAATTTCTTGATATGCTCGATAAACGTCGTTATATTCTTCAATTTCAATATTTAAAGTCAACTTTGTTCTTATCATGCTTGCTATTTTTCTTCACGGATAATTTGTACATGACATTCCTTCATAAACAAAGCATGATTCGATTTCTCATCATTGAGTTCGCTCTCGACAGAGGCCACTGGTGCTATTTTCAATTCTTCATACTTCTCAATTTCTGCTATAATGTTTAGTGATACTTTCTTCAACACAAAAGAACTGGTACGAGGATTCAAATCCTCATCGTCCATATTTTTGATGTAGTACGTCACAACTACAATTGATAGTTTCACTTTATCTAGGCGTTTGTCTTTTTTTAAATTATCTTTTCTAATTTCTTTTTCTAATTGTAATAGGTTTATTCTTAAATTTTATTTAGATTAGGATTAGTTTATTTCCTTTTAAAACTTAGTTTCCTTATTTTAATTTCCTTTTATTAATAGGATTATGGATAATTTGGCCTATAAATATAGGGGTATTGTACACTTTTTAATCAATCAATCATATATCAATACAAAACAAGATTATTCCGATATAATTCTTATTTTCAATTCTATTTCTAAACGCTTCCGCACAAAAATTGGTATCAGAGTAAGGAATTCAGCTCAATTCTGACACTAAAACTGTATAAAAGGTCAACAAAATTTTTATTCTCAATTCGACAATCTCCACCTTTGACTCCTTCGTGATTGCAAAATTTAATTTCTTCCTCTCCTTTGGACACTTCTGATTTTCAACTTGTTCATCCTTGGAGTGCAGCTCGATCTTGAAGTTTTCAATTGTAATTTCCATATACAAGGAATCAACATGTCTCGAATTTTCAACTTGCACATGCTTTTCTTTTTTTGTTTTAGTAATATGGTTAGTAACATCTAGATTATCTTGAATTACTTCTTTTTTAGCCTCATCATCTGCCTTTTAAGTCTTTTCCTGTCATTCATAAATTGCTCATCATATGACACCAAGACAATCTTTTTATCATACCACCTAAACACATACATATTATCTCGACCTATGTAAGTGGCATCTACATCATAGTACAATTGTTGTCCCCAAAGTACATGACAATCATCCATCTCTACCATGTTACATATAATATTATCTTTGTAGTACTTTCCAAGAGAGAAATTTTACGTACCTCTATATTTTGAATTTTTTTTCCCCTGTGAAGCTTGATAGCAAGATGAGTATTTTTGAGTTTTCAAATTTAAAGCTTTCACCAATACTTTAGACACTAAGTTCTCACTACTCTTATGATTTATTATCACTTTGCATATTTTGTGTTGATGATGCATCATATTTTAAAACTTTTCTTGCACTTCAAATTAGGCTATTTTATATCTTCTCGATAAACCTTCATAGAATCCTTAATAACTTGCATGTATTTTTGAATCAATGCATTCATTTGCAATAATTACGGAATCTAAAATCTGGTGCCCTTTGACAAAAACATTTTGAAATTTAGACACTACTTTACCCAACACCTCCTTTAATCAATTCGCCAAAATTTTCGTAATAATCTTGTACACCCCACTTACTAAGCTAATGGGACGAAAATCCTTAATATCCGTCGCTCCCAGTTTCTTAGGAATTAGCACAATAAATGTAGCATTCGCACTTCTTAGAAATCTTCCACGCTAAAAGAAATAAGTAAGGACATCCAGAATGTCTGATCGCAACACTTCCCAACAAGCCTTATAGAAAGAGAAAGAGAATTCATCGAGTTCTAGTGCCTTGTCGTCATTCATGCTGAGCACCACCTCCCTAATTTCATCCTCCCCAAATGGTCTCTCTAATCAATTGGCATCCTCCTCATTGATAGTAGAAAAGTCTAGCCCATCCAATTCTGGCCTCCAGTCCAACTGCTTACGATACAGAGTGTGATAAAAGCTTACTATATGGGTCCCAATATCCTGTGGGTCCTAGTGGTGGCAAAAAAGCTCGCCGGCTCGGGCTTCGCCAGG